TGTCAGGAGCCTGACTGCTGCCGAATCAGAACCGCGTGCACAAACATCATTATCTCGCTCGAATCTTCTCAATTTTGCCACGATATTACTTTGCCACGACCATCCTCTTCGGATAAGAATCAAAACGTTTGGAATATGAGGAGAACGCATCGTCGATCGTGAACGAGAGAAATGAAATTGCGCAGACCAAACAAGTTTCAACAACTTCTTTGAAAATTTCTCAATATTTTTCCCTTCTCATCCGATGTAATTATTATCGTCCAATCCGGCCTAAATTTCCCATTGCGTTTTTCCCGTCGAATTGGAGCATCCCCGTTATATCCCCCTTCCCCGAGCAAAATCAATTTCACTCCCCTCCGAGGATGGGGAGTAATCCTGAAAAATAGAGTTTACCCCGAAAACAATCTCGAGAGCGCGGCGGCGGTCGGGTCCTTTTCCACGCATCCGACCCAGAAACTTATTTCATCCTTTTCCTAGATTAGATTGCGCGTTAGGTAACGGCAACTCCCTTAACGCGGTCCACGAGATAACAATGGGCATTTTTATCCGAGCACTGATACGGCGGAATCGAGCCGGTCAACAGGATCAATGGAACTACATAAAGTAACTCATCGACCATAAATGGCTAATAGAAATAGGTCGACGATCGTGGAGGGTGAGGGTCGAGGGGAGGGGGTTTCAGAAAAAGGTATAGAAATAGATATTGGCTGATCATTCGCCGTTTCGAAGGAAATTGTCCCATCAGAAGATTGAAAGGGGATCGAGAATAAAGCTCTTTCTATGTATTGGCCGGCAATGATCGTAGCTGGATGTGATAAAGGGTAATATTTCTCAGGGCGTCGCTAAGAAAACTTTCCTCCTTTCTTCTCCTCGCCATCCACTGATCCGATCTACCCGAAAAAAGACAACGGGTTTCTTTCCTTTCGGACAGAATCGCGGACTTTTCTCTCCGATTTTTATCCACCCTTAACGAAGAAGGGTGCCATGCGAAACCGAAATTTCATGCTTTTAGCGAGATTAATGTTATTCGTCGTTTCTTGTTATCTACGTATGTACGAGGTGTGTGATTCATCGAGGAACGTGGACGATATTCCATCAACTCTTATTGTAACTTGTTGCTTATTGCGAGAGAGAAAGAGAGAGAGAGTCAACAGTTAAGTAAAAGTTTCCCGGATCGTTTAGATAGCTCCCTTCTTCCCTTAGAAAACACCGCGTTTTATTGGTTGGAGCGAACACAGCGAACACACCAAAGTTTGTCATATACGCCTTCCTCGCGTCTCGTTTGCTCTATCGACCGACCAAAGTCCCTTTCAGTTGTCTTTCACCCTCTTGCCTCGAGCTAGAGCGTAATTAGACGCGAAATAAGGGCTCGACCGGTTTTTAACCGACTCCAGCATTTGAGCGAAACGGGTCCGGATATAATTACGGAGACACCAACCCGAAGAAACTTTCGTGCTGGGAATTGGAAATAAATTAACGTGACGATACGATTCTGCCTCCATAAAATATCGAAACGGATGCATTTACGGGCATATATTTTATAAAACGCGATTAACCGAATCGAGGATAATTGCAACACGCGACTTTATCTTAAAAAATCGTAATAAAATTGATCTTCCCCGTAACATAATAAATGCTTCGACAATGCACTAATATAAATTCGTAATATCGATTCGAGTGCGAATCTCGCGCCTTTACTTTAAACCTCGCAATCAATTTTTATATCCACGTGCTTGCCACGTATATACGCCACATATATACGCCGCGTATATAAGTTACAATTGTAACTCTTTTCGCGTATAAAAAGAGCGCCCGTAGATGAATTAAATTAAAAATCCTTCGGGTGGAGAACGTTTCGACGGACAAAAACGGCCATTAACGAATCATAATTTCGTTCCCGATTAATTGCGTCGAGAAGGCGAGCGGGCGTATCAGGACGTAACTTTCGTTAATAAACGATGAGGATGGAAACGAGATCGCTGCGGGTCAAAACGTGGCGCCCGTGCGTGTACCACCCTACCTATACGTCTATACACACGTTTTTCGGCCTCGTTGAAAATTTCTGTGCGGGCGCGGACCGGGGTGCAAATTGCTTTTCGGGCCGTTTCGTCTGGCAGGAGACCATTTGTCACAGCGGATTCTGGACAAGCAACGTATAAGCCGGCTACGCTGATAATGACGCCGCGACGGCTAACTACAAGCTCATCGTACGCGCATTCATGAAGCAATATACATGCATTTACACGCTCCTCCTCCTCCACCTCACTCCTTCTCCCGTCTCATCCCTCTCTGTCATCGTTTTCCTAACGGTATATCCCTCCGTATTCGCATCGTGGTATTCGTTGTCACTTGGGCCGCACCTATACACGCGTTCACGGCTCTTTAATCCCCATCCTCTCTGTATCTAAACCGAACAATGAGCGTTACCGTGCCAAATTAATACATTCAAATTACCCATTGTTGGAGGTAAGACCAAAGTAACAGCGTTGCAAATGACCGGCTGTCATCGATGTATACGTCCTCCCGCCACGGGGATTGATCGGTTGTGTGTTGCGGAGGCGAGAACATGGTTTTTGCGTTTCGTTCATTCGAGCTCGTAGCTTAGCCCTCGAGATCCTCTACCGCTATTAATTCAAACTAATCCGCTTGGAGCAATGGAACTTTGTGGTCTTCGACACGATGTGTCCAAATTTTATCTAAACTTTCGTTATGCACTTATTTATAGTGCATTTATATAAGGATGTTTTTTCGATGTGTAGTAAATGATATTGTATAAAGTTCTGAAGTTTTTTTATTTTTAAAATAGGATTATCTTTCTTCGTGCCTCGTGTCGAACACGTGTTCGTCGTTCGATGAAAAATTCTCTCGTAGCAACATAAAAATTTTCGTTCGTGGTCATCAACGCGTACGAAAATACGATCTAGCGTATAAATGAAAATTTAGCTTCGAGCAATGACTTCAATTGCCGTGCTTGAATACCGGTGAAAGTTAGCAGCTTTTGTAGCAATTTTATCGCAGAGGAACAATTTAATTTCACAACGGTCAATACCAGTTATAAATATTACTCTCGTTACCTCTCATGATTTTCCCTTAGATTTTATTAAATCGTTCTTTGTGAATTCTCTCTTTGAAAGAAAATTCTTATATTTCTATTTACAACACGGAATAATTGTCTCATTCTTTCGAGAATGAAAAAGTAATAAATTTTTAAATTCTATTGACTCATTTCTGCTTAAATTTCAATTCTCTACCACAATTACAAATATTAATGTAGTATAATAATAAGACCATAAAAATGATTCTTTCGCGAAAAGAATCGCATTGAATTTATTACAAAAATTCCAGATATAACTAATCTAATCGTGTAATTTCTCATTAACGAATTTCTCTGACAATTTCCACAAAATTGAATTTCCCGTTACCGATTATTTATTCACGTTCGAGTAACGAAGCGTTTTAATCGCGTTATTTAATAATTCCGAGTTATGGTATAACCGACGATAAAGGCTAAACAATATTTTTCCCGTTCCAAAAATTTCCAATATTTATTAACAGTTCGTCGATGAATCGATCCGTCACAGACATATCCTCACGAATCTCGATCCTTCGCGATCTTTCAATCATTCAAAACGATACAAATACAACAACAACAACAAAAAAACGTAGAGTTCAAATATTAATACGAAACTAAAACAGAATTTTTAAATAAAGCGATAATTAATCTTTCAACCGAAAAGATTGAACCGTCACCCTCGCTCTCGAAATTTCCCCCGTTTTCCCCCGTTTGACCGGAATTATTCTTAACAATAACAGGTCGCCGTTTCGAGGAACAATAGAGATTCAAAGATGGAGGGAGGTAGCGTAGGAATAGTTAACAGACGCGACAATTTTCGCGGGAATTACTTGGGCAGAAAACGGGGAACGGTAAATTATTGCGACGGTGAGGAGGAGAAGCGCGTCGCGGGAGAGAGTCACCCCCGCGCGTCAAGAGGGGTTCCGTGAAAGAAACAAGGAGACGCGAGGCGGCCGGAAGAAGAAAGGGCGAAAACAGGGAAATAAAGTAAAACGGCATGAGCGTGAAGCCCCGGCGGAGACGGGTCGGTGTGCTCCGGGTTGGTGCACAAGAAAAGAAGAAACGGCACGGAGAGGAAGAGCTGCGAATACGTCACCTGAATGCCACCGTAATGTTCACAAAATGCCGGAAATATAAGCAAACGCGCGCCTTCTATGCTCTCAGGGGAACCGTCGTTTACATAAATAGCTCCAACCACCGGATTTCACGTGTACCATTCTCTGGTCTGCGCACGCAGAGTCTTGTACGTGTCCCGATATTTGACGGCAGAGTTTCCGCGAATTTGCCTACCAAATGGAATCGTATCTGGGGAAGTCGTTGGTTTCACCGCGTGGCTACATCTTGAGACGAAAGAGAGAAGGGAGGACGAAGAAGTAATCGTCTGGATTTTAATGCATTTTCGGTTCTCTTGTTATCCAAACCGTTTGATATTATCGTGTCAGAACGAGGACGAAGTTCTCGGGTTTTCTTCGAGGGGAAATTGGTGCGTCGGGTAGGTTGGTGCGTTTCCACGAGAATGAGTGCTCTCTGACATTTTGTCTCTGTCGTGTACCATACCGAAATGCTGATGTCTTTATGCATGTGTATATATATACGAGCGAGAAGAAGAAAGAGCTTGAAAAAGAGTAGTAGAGCGGGTAGAAAAGAATGCAAATTATACATAAGCTTATCCATCGTACTTCTATTACGTACGTCGAATCCCTTTAACGTCGTATTGTTTCTCCTTTTCATAATATTAAATGTACAATCGCACGCCCTCTCTAAAAAGTTTTTACTACGTCATACCCAAGACGTGAATATCGTACAGAATACGTTCCATTTCTCGTTTCATTCCGTGACCTGTCTAAAAATACACCAATGTATCGCGTATCGCATCTGTCAACTCTCGCAGATAGGGAGAAATTCCTAAGGGAACGTACACGCACAATTTTTTTTTTTTTTTTTTCAAGGAAAGCGGTATCAAAGTTTCACTCGAGTTGAAAAGCACGCAGCGGTAACTGCATATTACGAGAATAAGTAACAACCCCGCGTATACCCGGGAAATGTGCTGTTACGATGCAAGAGTTTCTCTCTTTGTCCCCTACCCTTGTTTGTCTCTTCCTTCGTTCTCGTTCTGCAAAAACATTCGCATCATTAGTAACGAGGGAACGAGTTGAAAATTGTTCGAGTATAAAGTTACTCGTTACCAGATAAACGGGGAAAGGCTGCGTTTCGATGATGATATCGTGTTCCTTGGATTGTCTTCCCGCGCAACAAACAACTTTTCGCGTAAATTATGAAGATTAGCGAACATTGAACGATCTCGCGTGACGTTACCGTGCCGAATATATTATAAAACCCATGCGAATTACGCCAAATCGGAGTTTACACGCGAGTCTCTTTTCTTATTCATTTTTTTTTTTTTTTTGAACCGTATCGATTCAAGGGAACCGAGACAAGTGACGCGAATTTTCTCGGCCAAGCGGCGATAAAACAGAAGTAAGAAATTACTTTACATCGCGTTTGCCCACGGAAAGTGTCTCATTTCCTTGCGGAAGTCATGAAACATTAATAAACCGCTGCGGAGAATGGCCCCCCGTGATAATTGTTTATTTAATTACGCCCATTGTAAATCGCGCCAGAAGGAATGAGACAGTTTTCACGGTGAATATATTGTACGAAATAAAATTGGCTCATTTAATTAAACCGCGATAATAAGTTCCTCCAACGTTTCGTTTGCGAAAATTAACAGCGACAGTTTAAGGAGGCTTGGAAAAAGAACAACGTGAGGGATGTTTCAAATTGGTAACGAAGTAACAAGATCGTTTACAAGTAGTAGGTCAAATATTCATTTTACTATGAGAGAATTACAATATTTTTTTTCCTCTCAAAGGGCGATACGAAATGCTTGAAATGATTCGGAACGATACTTGATAAGAAGGGCTGCTTAAACCGTTAAGTGTTTTCCTTGCCAATAATCCTCGTTGATCGGTTTTCCTTTTTGTCCACACGATTTTGTTAAAGAATATTCTCTTGTCGATAATGCGAACCATTACTCTTCGTCGTTTAATTTCAATTTGACAAATTCAAACGCCATTCTAATCGAAGAATAACCAATAAAATAAATATTGAAATGTATTAACATCTCTTCCTCGACGATCATAATATGCCATCGTATTGCATTTACGACAATTTTGTTCTTCTGACTAATGCAGTTCGACGTTATAGATATTTTATAACTAGAAATAGCGTTCGTATAACACGGAAGAACGAGCGACGAACCTATCGAGAGGGTAGAGAAAAAGGTCAATGACAGAGGTACCACACGACCTTCTGCTCGCTTTTTCTTATACGTACTTTCTAGCTAGCACATAGTGACTCATCATTCTTCAATCTTCGCACGATACATCTTTACTCGACGAGTTTTTATTTTTTTATTATCGTGGCCGATGGTAATATCGCTATCTCATCAATAGCCGATTTAAATGCGAGAATTGGCCGCAGAAAATCCACTCTTTTAACCACGATCTTGTCCTTTTTTGGGTTTAAAAAAATTTAATTTCGATATATATTCCTTTCAATGTATGCTTGCAAAAGGATCGATCTTTGGTCATCAACAAAAGGAAATTTAGGGAAATCGATATTCAAGGAATAATTAAGAATATTCAAGGAAAAACTAAACCTGAAAATAAAATTTAAATCCTATACAATCCTGAGTATCCTAAATAAGCCTAATTATATCTAATACATTCTACGATATGAGACGTTACTTCACATATATGAAATAATTGATATAAGTGAAATACGTCTCTAAGAAATTATTTAGATCTTATTTATATCTAATTATACCTAACTACACATGCATTTGTTAGTTACTAACATATTTTAACATGATCGCTTAAAATTAAGGCTTCTAATTTTATTATCGTAACTATTTATAATATGATATTAGGATTTTAACCTAATATTATATTAATTTTATTGACTAAATAAATAACCTATCACAAAACTTAATCCAAAATTATTATATCTAACCATAAATTTATGTAAAAGTGTCCTGATTAACTTAATCTACTTACTAACATATTTATGTACATGTATATCTGCATAATAAACGAGAAGAAAGGGAACATCATCAACAAATATAAATACGTTCGAAAATATCCTATGTACTTTTGTCCACTGGTCCTGAAACAAACAAAAATTAAAAGAGCAGTACATTGATAAAAATTAAATAATGTTTTTCTTCATATATTGAGGCTTCTTCCTAGAAATCCTATCTAACAAATTCTTTCTTGCATTAAAATTTTATGGTTTTATCATAAAATCTAAATGCAAAGAAGAAATAGGAATTAAATATTATGTGAGGTATGAATCTTCTTATATCGATCCCACCTGAAACAAACTTAAAATACTTTATTTTTTTAATGACAAAAAATATTGTGAATATTATAAAAAATTTTCTACAATATAATATTATATATTATAGAAAATTATAACTATGATTACGAACAATCATTTTTAATGATTTTATAAAATTTTGCCAATTTAATTACTATTTCTTTGTATATTTTGTTTTAATAAAAAATTTTCTCTTTAAAAAAAAATATTCATTTATTAATAAATAATCATATTTTTAAACAGTACTTTCAGTATCAAATGCTCTATTAATAAGGGGATGCTGAAAAGAAAAAGACGAAGAAGAAGTAGCCAGAAGAGCTACCAAAATAATAATTATCCACTCAATATGAATCCGAACAAACCGTGAGTGGACGTTTTTCTCGCAACACTAATATATTAAATTTTCAAAAGAAAACGCGAAAAGTGCTTTATTTGTATTTGCAATGCAATTCCAACAAATAAAAAAAAATAGAAAAAAAATAGAAGACTCGCGAAAGTATACACCCTCAACGAGGTGCTCTAATTATTTAACGAAACTCTAACTATTTTATGCACTCTCATTTTATTGCGCAACACTAACATCGCGGAAGACTGCAGCCAATGCAACCATATCAGAGGTTGCCGTCGTCAAATCACCATTGTGCAGCTCTTTGCTGCTTGGTGATT